TGAAAGATGCCAAAGTAGGACCGAAAATGAACTTGAAGTGGTGAGGTCATCTTTATCAAACACGTGACCCCGCGACCCATTGAAGTCAATAGACCCAGACTTCAAGAAATGGAAACCAACATCTATCTGACAAAGCTTATCTCTGCACCCGAGGGCCGATTGTGGAACATCAACCGATGAGAAAAATGGCATGGAGCACTTTTGGAAGATTGAAAATGTTCTTATCTGGGAAACTATCCCTGTGTAACTGAATATGTCCGAAATACGGACTCTAAGTCTTAAGGCTATTCATAAACTGCAAGCTACATAACACAGAACAAAGAAATGCTTATGTAGAGAATAACAAGAAAATATATAAAGATGAACGAATGCATAAGACGACGAACAGGAGTCAGCGATATCACTGCAAGATGATTAAGTTTAAATGACAATGGGTAGGACACGTTGCAAGAGAAGAACCTAACATCGCTCAACCAGAGACACATTAGACCGTATTCCAAACGAGGGTAAATGATACGTATGAAGACCTGCAAATCGATGACAAAATGAGTCGAAGAAGTTCCTTCGGTCATGATGAATAAGAATCACAAATAAACAGTTACTCAAGGCCAAGTCTTCGAGACGCCTTCATTCAGCAGTCGACCGAAAATGGCTGATGATGATGGGATGACGAAGAAGACGACGATGATGGTGATGATGATTATGTACAGCTCTTTGCGGACAGGAAGTGTAGACGGATTTCATGGGTGTTAGGTGAGATCTCATACCATTCATTTTATTCCTGTTCACTGGATCCCTTTCGTATTCCGCCTGAAACATTTTCATCATGTTGTTGCTGAACGTCGACCGAGCAGAAGTACTGCAACCTGAAAAAAACTGATGAGAAGTGTTTCCATAAATAATAAAATCACCAGAATATTTTCAGCGCATATTTTAATCCAAAAATTAAAAACTATCACGGAAAATTCAAGCGGTCTATTTGAAGCTGTCTCTAATGAAGGTGACACGGACTGGAAAAAGACACTCGAATTAATTAAGTTTGTAATAAACAATTTAAATTTCGCGTTCCAATCAGAAAGCGGAATAATTTCAATCTCATAATCTGTCTGTACCTTACCAATAATTGTATAACGTAGCTTATATTGCAAAAGTTTCTCTGATAACGGCTTCTGTGCCAGAACCCGAAACTTCGGAATGGCATAAAGAAAAATCTTATGTCACGTCTAAAACCAGCTGTATGGAAAGAAAGCGAGGAGGTGAG